CCTCTCTGATCCTCTAGTTAAATTGTGGATGTTATACAAAATATGCTCATTATACTGTTAACAATGCAAGGAACCAATAGGGATCTGGCTTAGCCTGTTAATCACTGGACTTGATTGGGATCTGGATCTGTCACAGTCCATAATGATTGTGTACTGCTGTAGGTAGTTATATATTTAGATTTGTGATGCCAAAGTGTTAACTACTTTTTGTTTGTTTTCTCAACAGCAATCCAAGTGGTGAGTTGTTGGAGAAAGAACTAAAGCACCAAATAAGAGCAGAGCAAAAGGAAGCTGTGAAGAAATTGAGCCAGTTTCTGGTAAGGAGATTTGCTGTATTTTGGGATGGAGGAATATAGATAGCTTATGAAACATGGTCAGACCATGAACTGCAACCAACTGTTGTGGGTCATTAGGAAATACACCACCAGTTTTCATTACCCAGATGTCGTTGCTTCTATGAAGATTTTTTTTATCCAGGGTCTATGTTGCCCTAGAGCAAATTTAATTTTGGCATCCTTGGACAATTTTCAATGTCCAAATACTTATGACCTGTCTGTGGGACAGCCAACTCTGCAACTTTACCTGTCTGAAATCAATTTTTAACTGTCTCGGACAGGTGCCAGTTTCGAGTCCTCCATTTTCCCCAAAATATGCTGTTTGATTCCAATTCAAATGTTTCAATCATTTAGATATAAAAACTGAATTCTAAGGTGTATGCAACATTTGATGTAATGACATGTAATTTGATTAATGTGTATGACATAGATGGCCAGTTAACCATCAAGACTTCACTTCAGTTGGTGTAGATCTTGTTTACTTTGATTGTTTGAGTTTGTGAAAGAAGTCTTTTCGTATAGAACTTCTACCAAAGCTTGCTTTTGAACCAGTTTATATCCCATGCTTTTAGGTATTTTGGAGTCTTGGCAATTTTTCCTTAGCACCTTCCCACCTATTCATTCTAATGCTATATTAATGCCTTAGTTGTTTTATGATCATTTGACTTTCAACAAGAGAAATGAATCTGACATAGATCCTGTTTATTTTGAGTGTTTGATGCAGTAAAAATAGATTTTTTTTAAATATAATTTTCTGTGCAAACTGCTTAAATATGCTCTTTTTAGAAAAATGCCACAAGTGTAAAATATATTTGGTTGATATGAGTGAGTAGTTTGAATAATTCAGCATATTTCTGTTACTAACTCTCTCAGAATCACGTTCTCCACTTTAAAAAGAATAAAAGCTGGGACAAATGTGGTACTTGCAGTATTTCATATACATTATCGAATTACAATGTTGCAAATATATGTTATTCTTACATATGAATTCACTTACTAGTCACCTGTTGGTAACTCATGCCACTTAGGATGTCTTTATTGTTTCAGGGTTTGGATGAGATCATCACATATGACATATACAGATTGTATTTACAGCATGATTACAGAGGATCTCAAAAGGATCTACAGGTTCACTGACAATTTACTTTTTAATGTTGAATGACAGATTATTACATTTGATTGGTATTACTTTTACTCACTTTGTGAAACTATAAATTTCCAGTATATTTCCAGATCTATGTTGATTGTAAGAATTTAAGCATTTAGCATACCAGTGAAAAAAGATAAACACTGATAGTTTTCATTGACAGTGTTAAAAATTATCAATCTTTGAGAAAGCTGTGCATTAATGGGGAATCAGAGAATTTGTGAATGAATGAATATCTAGTCAAGCAAATGAAAATCTTTTGGAATTTAGACCATGTTGGGAGAAGACCGTCACATGAGGGCATTAGTGCTGAGAACCAGGGACTTCTACTTCAGTGAGCGACTCTACTTGCTCAGATGTATAAAGCATATCCTTAGTAAATGGCAGCATGAGGGATACAGATATCAGGTTGGTATGATACTTGGTATATAGGCTGCAGTGTTAGATGATGAAACTGTGTGCTATATCAGTAAAGTTGAGGGGCAGCGAAACTCAAGAAGTCTGACAACTGGTATGTCCAACCATAGTACAGTTTCAGTGAATAATTTGAAATGGAAGAAAAAGCTTTCCTTTATATAAGTTACATATGTCAGCTTACATATGTCAGCTTAAGTTGACCTGTTTTTACTTGTATTCACTCATATCAAAGCCAAGTCTAATGATAGTTTACTATTTTTATGTACAGACACGTGGCTGTACATAAAACCATCACCAGCATCTGTCGTTGCTGCTGCCATGAACTTTCACTGATAAGTGGAAAAATGTTTTACCTTTTGTCTGCAAACTTATGGAACTGAATGAATATTCATAAAACAGGTTTAGTTCGACAATCAGCATGTTTGGGCCATTTTTTCAAAAGTTATGTAATAAGAAAAGTTCATGGTCTTACTCAAGATTTCAAAGGATTACTGAAACATCCACAAATTAAATTGAAATATGTGCACGATTTTGAATTTATGAAAAAAAAATCGGTTTCAAAATGACTCTCGTAGGGGTGGGACTATATTGCGAGAAAAAAAGTTGCCAGCCTGAATTTTTTTCATTTTTAGATACGAGTTAAAAAATCATCCAAAGTTTAAGATTTTGAAGGGAATAGTTTGCACACTCTCTAGTATGGTCACACGGTTCCCTAATCCAACATTCAACTAAAAATCTGCAGGGAGGGAAATGGGCGGTCTCCAGTCGCCAAATGCGACCGCTAAAACGAATTGGCGAGTGCCAATCTCGGTAACTGGTCCAAACGGGCGACTGCTCTATAAGCAGCGGCAACATGAGAAATATACGGGGTTTTTTACTTGTCCTTAGATATTTTTC